CAACAAAACTGTAGTTTTGTTTTCCCTGTTTCAAAAGCTGTTTAGTTTCTCAAAGCATTTAAACAAAGAACTATGGCTTTGTTTAATGTCCATTTCAGTTTGACACTAAACAGGCTGAAACAAAAGCGCCTTCTGGAAGAAAAAATTATCCAGAGAAAAGCACAACTGTTGGAAGAACTACGACAAAAACAGAGTGTTGAACTTGCTGTAAGTTTACTCTGGGTATTTATCTTTCTCTGGTTAATTATGCTTTTCTACTTATTCTGCATTAACCCTCAAAAGGGGGTTGTTTTGTGGTTTACAGCTAGGCTGCAGTATCTGTGCCTTTTAGTCTGATTTTAATCCCTAATTAGACACATTCTTACTGGGTGGGCATGGCTTATTCTTTCCCCTCCCTGAAAACCAGACCACCGGAGGTGGAAATCATCATTCACTGTTGTCATACATTGATAGTGAAAACATTAATAAAATAGATGTAATGTAGACATTTCCTTACAGTAAATACAGTAGCATACATACTTTCTGACACCATTACAGATCAGAAATTACATTTTGACCAAGCAATCATGTATTTTGTTGTTGTTTCAAATAGTTAGGGACAATCACATTACACTAATTGAAATATATTGAGAACTGAAGTTACAGTAACATTTCATTTTATATATATATATATATACACACACACACATGCACACGCATGCACGCACGCACGCGCACATGCACGCACGCGCACATGCACACACACACTTACTTTGTAATAATTTATTGACTTTTTTTAAGTCCCCCCCAACAAACCCCCCCCCCCCCCCCCCCCCCCCCCCCCCCCCCCCCCCCCAAAAAAAAAATTTGTTTTGATTTTTGCTGAGTACATTGAGTTTTATTTTGTGACAGTTAACCCTGATCAGCACGTAATCAAATAATGAGATAATATGCAGCAAGGCTAGGCTCCTTGACAGTTGTTGGTAAAGTATATTTGTGGGTGCTTAAGAAGAGATATCAAACTATGAAATATAAACATTGATGACTAGACTATTACACCTCACTACATTTAATTAAGGTAATCTTGCAGTGTTAGTAAGCAGCAGTCCGGACAAATTTATCAACCTGCAAATGCAGTACTGCATAAGGCATACTGCCAATTCAGTGGCAACTGACCACTCACCATTTCCATAAATATGCAGTTACTAACAAAAACTATAACTGACAACAAAAAGTAAAGTAATTTTTTCACACACTCAGGCAAATTGAGCAGATAGTGTTAGGCCTAAATTTTATTGACCAATTGGCACTCGGTTGGTGATTTGGTCAACATCATGTGCACTGCATTTACTTCCCAGGACTCTAACTAGTACCCATTTAAGGCTAAGTCAATCTAGGAGCCAAAGTCATTTTTGAAACAAGTCCGGCTCTGTTTGTATTTGAATCCATGATCGTCTGAACCGCAAGAGGGCGAGACAACAAAAAGCCTTTCACAGGAAATTCACATTTCATAGTCTTATACTTGCTGAGACGCTACAAGATCTTTTGAAATGCACAATTATTGTAACAGGGAAATGTTATCACTTGTTTGTTAGTAAGTAGGACATTACGTATTAGTTGAAGGGACTGAAATCAAGAGGTCTTAGCAACTTTGACATTCCCTTTCCAGAACCGTCACTTGTTTATTGGCAGTTATATATTTTGCATGAAAATGAATAACCTTGTTATATAAATAGCATCTGATGTAATTTCGTGATGTGCCGTATCAAAAAGATCGCAGAAACACTCACTTTCTGGAAGCCTCCAGAAGGCCAGCAGCCAAACAAATTAGAATATTTTGGTGTAGATTATCTGATGATATCCAAACGCAGTTAGAAAATCTCACGTGAGAACCTACACAGTAAACATGTTGAGCCATACTAGAATTTTCTAGCAGCAGTTTAGTGAGTAGAAAACATATTCCACACATTTCAGCATCTCAGTATAAACAGTGGGTAAGAAACCACTTCGGTAACTTTGAGAATATTCATTCTTCAGTCTACAAGACTAAGAATAAGAGGGACTAGTCCCATGGACCCCCTCAGATGAGAACCTTCAGTTGTCGAGACTTGAAAGCAGAGGAGCCAGTCACATGGAGCCTCAAAGACAGTCATAAGAGAGGAGACATGAACAAGATATTGAACTACAGAGACAATAGACAAGATACATGGATCCATGGTTAACAGACATATCAGATAGAAACTCTATTGAGATGTCGGAGTCGATGATTAAGCCATTAGTACCAGACAACACTAGAAGCCAGGTGGCAGTTACAGACACTAGAACCAGTTAACATGTTGAATGTTAAATAAAGAATTGACATCACAGCACTATGGACACCCCCATAAGAGCTCCGTCCCCATCTGCAGCAAGTGAAGAGTTACAATTCTGATGGTACTAGTAACTGTCTGTATTTCCGTCTCACCTTTCCCCCTGAGTGTCGAGCGTCGGCCACATCCCCTTGTAACTCCTTGCAGTGCTATTCTCCTCAGACCGTAATAATCTAACTGTGCCTTGGCACTGTTCACTCGCTCCCAAAGGGCCCTGACAACACCCAACCTGTCATACATCAGCTCACCACCAAGTGGTGCAGAACTGGCCAGTCTATCTGCCTGCTCATTTTCCAGCACACCGGCATAACCTGGAGAACTAGTTAACAAAGTAACCAGAGATGAAGAACACAACGCGACCTCAAGAGTATGTAACCATAGAGCCAAAACAACAGCCATTCAGATTATCATTGATGTTATTTGTGACATTACTGAGGTATCACAATAAAGACAGTACATAGAAGAACAGTTGTTTCCAGACATTTTATTATTCAAGTATCAGTGACGTGAGAAGCATGCAGCAAGCAAGACATCATCATCATCCTCATCATCACCACTATTGACACAACCATCTTTCTCCTCGTCTATATTGTTCAATTGACTCCTTTTGAAGCAAACTAAAGATGTACCTGGGTACAATGTCAGTCTACACAAAGACGACCGCTGTGCTACATTATATTTTCTGTATTTTAATTTAAAGCATTGAAGTTTTTGTTGTTCTGTGTTGTTTTAGAAAATGAAGAAAGTGGCTCTTAACAATGGAGAAGAAGATGATGAGGAAACATACAGAAAGGAAATGATGCTGCTTAAAAAACATACAGAACAACAAGTGGCACTTGCTCAGGGTTTACAGTTAAACATTGAACAGGAATTGAAAGATGTAAGTTTATGCTTTCATTATTTATCACATAATAATATTATTAGACTTCCAGGACAAGATAGAATTGTTGTGCTTTCTAACCACCTGTTATGTGGTCCAAAATAACACAGGAGGTCCAGGTGCTACAAAGTTTTTTCAAGCATCTGAACTGAAACCATCTTGAAAATAGGTACAGCAGCATACAACAGCTTTGGTGTATTTGACGTCATCATGTCCAACGGGTTCACGGGTTTTGATGAGATTGATAAGACCCACAGAGGTATGTGAGGAGGATTTAAAAAACTTCAGATGAACAAAAATGTGTTGTCATACATGAACACTCTACAGAACACCAAAGAAGAATAGTAAACCAACCTAAAACAGGTGTTATCAATTAACACATGCTGAGGAATATAACATAACATAATCCTTGACCCATTAGTGGTGTAGAGGTGTATTGATGGAAGCACTAGCACATAAAACCTGCCATCTTTTTCGGTCTTCCGCTTGATGAATAAGTGTATGATAACTTAGTCCTGTCCCCTTCTTGATGTTGTCTTTCTAGTTTCTTCGTTGCCCTCGTTTTCTTTGACTACCCCCCAATATTCCTTGAATTACAGTCTTTGCAATCGAATCATGTCTCACCACGTACCCAAACTAAGCTACCTTGTGACGTTTCAGCTTGCGAATATACAGAAGATGAGATCTAAGTGCTTATGGACTTTTCTGATGTGCGATAAGGATAATAAGTCAGTTAACTATGTGTGGCAATATTAGGAATTTACAACATCTGTAAATTGTTCTTCTGACCTAAATTCCTTTTTGGAGCATAAACCATGAATGAACACACCAAGATGTCATATCCTTCATGATCCTGTGCAGCTTATCATATGTCCAGTCTATATTATTGACTTGTCACTAATGCCCTTCTATGTTTGCTTTTCAGTCATCTATGTGCCATTTCAACAATGATGGTTAATGTGTTTAGTTACTTTAACAACAGCGGATGGAAGATGTGTTATAAAAGTATTAAATTTAGAATATCCCTATTTTAAAAAAACATCTCACAGGAGCATATTTTATGCCAAATATCTTTGTGGTATAAAATAAGAATGAGTTCTTAAGAGCTTTATAAAACCATGTGTGATGTGCGGGGATAAGTAATGAGCAATCGCCATATAAGTATGAAATTAAATATGGAAGCTTCAGAGATTTTTTGTGAACTCCTTCAACAAATAAAAAGTGTAATT